GCAGGGCCCGCGAGGAGGAGTCTCGCGGCGACGCTGAGCGTGAGGCCCGTGAGGAATCGCGTGCCGCCCGTGATCGCAGGGCCCCGTGAGGAGGCGTCTCGCGGCGACGCTGAGCGTGAGGCCCGTGAGGAATCGCGTGCTGCCCGTGATCGCAGGGCCCGTGAGGATGCGTCTCGCGGCGACGCTGAGCGTGAGGCCCGTGAGGAATCCCGCGCTGCCCGTGATCGCAGGGCCCGCGAGGATGAGTCTCGTGGCGACGCTGAGCGTGAGGCCCGTGAGGAATCCCGCGCTGCCCGTGATCGCAGGGCCCGCGAGGATGAGTCTCGCGGCGACGCTGAGCGTGAGGTCCGTGAGGAATCGCGCAGGCGCCGAGCGGCCAGGGAGGAGGCTCATACGGGCCTCGACGATGAAGGTGAGAGCCTGAGGCGGCTGACGAGTCGTTTGGACGCCTTGGAGCAGAAGCTGAGGAAGGTCGGTGCTGCGGCGGCCGCCTCGTCACAACAGGCGAGTGGTGCCCATGGGCGCTCGTCCGTGTCTCCGACGGAGGTTGTGGATGAGCAGGCACGGGAGGACCTGGAGGAGCTTGAGCGGTTTGTCACGCGACGCTTCAAGGAGCTGGAAAAGGCAGTGTCAAAGTTCCGTGACGCCGCTCCAGCCGCCGTTGCTGCTCCCATGAGAGTTGGCGGCCATTCCACGGGAAGATCCGAGCGATCACCTGCTGGGCGTGCTGCGCCGTCGCCCGAGAGTGGCGCCACGGGCGCGAAGCGGAGTTCTGAGGCCGCTGGCGCCAAACACGACACCGCCGGCGCAAGCGACGCGAGGCAGCGGGAGGAGCGGAGGGCGCCCGCGGGGGCCGGCGCAGTGGATCAGGTGGCCCGTGGAGATGCCGGCGCCGCGCTGGAGCAGGTGGGTCACCTCGAGAAGTTTGTGACGAGGAAACTCAAAGAGTTGTCGTTGGCCATTGGGAAGGAGCTGGGTCCTTTTTCTGTGCGTCCCTCTGGCGAAACCGAGTACCCCACCGCCATGGAGCAAAAGCCTCAGGGGCCGCTGGTGGATCAGATGGCCCGCGATGATGCTGCCCGCTCAATTGAGGCGGTCCACGAGCTTGAGGAGGAGTGGGGGAGACGCTGGCACTCATTGGAGGAGCGGCTGCGGATCATTGGTCGGGCCTCAATAGGCAAGGGAACGCTGCCGCCCACCGCCGCCGCATCTTCAATTGACAGAAAGGCCCGGGAGGACGCCTCCATGTCACTTATGCGCATACAACAGCTGGAGCGGGAAATAATGGGATTTAGGCGACTGCTTCAGAAGCATGAGCTCACAACGTCTTCCGACGAGTTTGCGCCTTCGGATACGCGACTACCTAGCGGTGCCGTGTTTCCCGTGCCACCAAAGGTCCCGCGTCAGGCAGCCTTTCCCCCTGCAGGAAAAGCCGCCGATGACGCCCCAGGCAGTCATGATGCGGAATATCAGACACGCATGCAGAATTTGGAGCAGGAGGTAGAGCAGCGCATGCAGGAAGTGAACCGGGCCCTTGCCACGCTACGTACAACGCAGTCTGGGCTTCCACCCGGCAACCTCCTGGGGGAGGGGGTTGCTGTTAGGGGGGAACCCGCGTCGGTTCCAGGTCAAGTTGTGTTCAACTCAAGAGACACAGACGGTTATTACATGGTAGAATCTGCTGAGCCCTTCCATGGTTCCCCCACAACGCAAAAATCCATGCTGGTGATGACGTCGCATGAGGATGCAGACGTGGGAAACCTCTTTGGTGGCGTGGCGCCGGTGCAGGGCGCTGCGATTGTGCTGCGCTCTCCACAACTGGGCGGCCTTGGAGTCCCACTAGTGAAGCGTGAGCTGCCAGGCGGCACGGCAGCGGCTTCTCACTCCGTACTGCGCACTGACGAGGCGCCGGCGCGCCAAATGGGGAGATCATATGGCGCTGCAACTGAGCTGCCCCCGCCACGCGAGGACTCAGTTGCACAGTCCACTCTGCATGATGAGGGGGGCCTGCGTGTCGCGGAGGCCGCGAGCGGCGCCGCGGCCGCAACCCTCACGAGTCCCACCCCGGTCTCTACCCCCACCACTGCCCCCACCACGAAGAACCCCAACGCCAGGCTTCCGGCGGGTGACGGCGGGTGGGTGTCGCCGAGGGACCGCACCGGGGAACTCGATCTGCTGCGGTCCCATAGCACGCGTCTGCGCAGCACGGCCGTGAGTCCCCGTGTGAAGATGGAAGAGGGTTTCTTGGAGGAGCAAAGCGCACTAGGGCACACGACGCCATGTGTAGTGTACAACTGCGCCTGGTGCGCCGCACAGAAGCGGAAGGCGTCCGCGCGGACGGCGCGGCCAGTGCCCTAGACAACGCAGAGAGAGAGAGAGAGAGAGGGGAGGGGGAACTCCCGGCTTTCAGATGTATGGGGGGAGGAAGTGAGTGTTCCACACTGGAAAAAGCATGTTCATAGTTGTAGCGAAGCAAAACTGTGAGTAGATGAAGAACAATGGGCGAAGAGCAAGGAACAATAGAAACGAAAAGAAAAAGGGGAAGGAAGAATAAGAAAAAGAAAAAAACATCACGCCAAAAGCCCTTGAGTTTTTGAAAGAACATGGGTTTTTTTGGGCCAAATGTGCAGTTTATCTCATTTCATGTCAATTATGCATTGCGACGCCCTGTTGCACGCTTTTCCGCGGGATTTGTTTTGCTGCACTCTTCGACTGTGCTCCCCCGTCACGCTGTGAGTTGGGGCTTTTGCCGATAGGCCCCTGTCCTTTGCCGCCCCGAGTACCGTTGCTTCTTTCCGCCTCCTTTCCCCCCCACGCACTCACCCGCGGCAGCCGCAGAGGAGTACACCAACGCCAAGGCCAGCACAGGGAGGACAGACTCTGTAGCAAGGGAGTAGCAGCGATGCCGGCGGTAGACGTGGACGTCACCACCATCCCCGACATGATCGAGGCGCAGCTGACGCTCAGCTACAGCCGCCTCGCACACCTCGTCCGCCTCATCGTCGATCAGGGCAACGGTCACGACGTGGACATTGACAAAATGAACAACCGCATGGATGCGCTGGCGAGGGAGAACGCGGAGCTGCGGGCCCTTCTGGAGTCACTCGTGGAGAAGAACTCGCGCGAGAGTTGGTTTCAAACGGAGCTGGATGAATTGCGAGGTGAGGTTGCCCGCGTGTCTGACAGCTGCGCGGAGAACTCCAATAAACTGGTCTCCGTAACGGAGGAGATCCAGTCTCGCTTCGACGAGACGGAGAAACGGCTCAAGGCGGAGACGACCACGCGAGCGAACGAGGTGGAGCGCTTCCACTTGTCCGTGGGTGAAGTGCAGAGCGCCGTCCGAGACATGGGAGGGACGCTGAAGCACCTCCAAAACTTTGTAGATGTATGGGAAGGCAAGCCGGAGAAGACGGAGGCGTTAACGACGCGTGACGCGGCGGGCGCCTTTCAGCACTCTACGGAGAATCGTGTCGAGTACCTGCGCTCCCTTCCTGTCTTCGCCAGCGTCTTTGACGAGGTGGACGTGCTCCGTCAAATGCTTCGCCAGCAGGCCGCTGACAGCCTGTCCGCAAAGACTGCTGCGGGGGCAATTCGGCGTTTTAGTGCCGCTGAGGTTTCCGCCTCAGGTGTGTCTGATGCAAATAAGGTTGACCGCGACGCCATCAGCGGCTTGCAGGAGTCCCTGGGGGGGGTGTTGCAACGTCTAAAGAGGCTCGAAGGCGGACTGACACCCGCGTTTGGGCAGGCGAAAGCGCGGCCGCAGCAAACACCGGTGCACCTGTCAGCAGAAGTGGAGGACATCAGTCGGCTCGAGAAGCGGCTGCAGCAGGTGGAGAATCGTTTACGCAGCCTCTCCTTCCAGGCCTCTGACGGAGGCGGCGCGGAAAAGGCCAACCTACTGGGTCTTAATGGGCGTTTGTGGCTTGCCGAGAGTGGGGCGGAGACCCTCCCGTTACAACAGCTGCCGCAGAAGGAAGGGGAAACTCTGACGCCTGGCATGCCCGGGCGGCAGCCCTTCAGGACCTACTCGCAATCGCAGTCGCAGTTGCCGTCGCAGTCGCAGTCGCAGCCACGGCGTTCGGCGTCGGCTTCTTTCGGGCGTCATGCGCCGGCGCCTGTGGGAAGGGAGGGAGCTCCTGGCTCCACAGGGGAAGGCTTGGCGTTGCCGCAACTCCAGGCAGTTTCCTCGAAGGGGAGGAATGAGACGTCGGATCCGCAGGCGCTGCAGGGGGCTGGAGGTGAGGCACCCAACCCTGGGGATTCTGCTGCGCATCCAACGGAGGTAGAAGCGGGCCGTCTTCGTACCTCGCCACCGCATTCGCAGGCGGCAGCTCAGAATGATGAAATCCAGCTTCGTATTGCGCGGCTGGAGGAGGGTTCGACGCTGCTGGAGATGAAAAAGGCTGACCGCCAGGAGTTGGCGCAGCTTGAGGACGCCTTGCGGCAGATTGTTCAAAACCAGGCACTGCAGCCAGGATCTCCGCTCTTGCAAGCCTTAATGCCGCGTCGTCCAATGTCGCAGCAGGAATCTCGTGGGATGAACGCGATTGAGTCGGCGTACTACGGCAGCTTGGGGTTGGGGCCGAGGAGCGCCACACCCGGGCGCCCCGTGTTCGTCGGGGGCGCGGCATACAGCCTGCGCGACAACACAGGCGCCGTGACGCCGGCCACCGTATCCAGCTCGCACTTGCTGTGAAGTTCCGGAAGCACTGGAAAAGAAGTATGTATGTAGCAAATTAGTCCATTTCTTAAGGAACCTCCCTCCCCCTCCCCNCCC